ACATTTGTATGTTACTTGTTCCTTTTCCCTTACAGCTTTTATTTTTTCTTTGTTATGTGCATTTAGTGTTTTGATTATTATATGACAAGAGGACTTTCTTTTCTGGTCCCATTTATTTGGTGTTCTATAGGCTTCTTGTACCTTTATGGACATCTCTTTTTTTAGGTTGGAGAAGTTTTCTTCTATGATTTTGTTAAAGACATTTTCAGGTTTTTTGAGCTGGTAATCTTCACTTTCCTTTATCCCAATTATTCTTGGATTTGCTCTTTTCATTGTGTCCTGTATTTCCTCGAGTCTTTGGGCTAGGAGTTTTTTACATTTCGAATTTTCTTTGACAGTTGTGCTAATCTCTTTCACGGTATCTTCTACACCTGAGATTCTGTCTTCTATCTCTTGTATTTTGTTGGTGATACTTACATCTGTAATTCCTGACCTCTTTTCTAGGTTTTTCATTTCAAGGCATTACCTCCATTTGTGTTTTCTTTATTGTTTCTACTTCTCCTTTTAGGCCTTGGATCACTTTATTCAATTCCTTCACCTGTTTACCTGTGTTTTCCTATATTTCTTTCAGTGAGTTATTGATATCCTCCTTAAAGGACTCTATTATCTTCATGAGATAAGATTTGAGGACAGATTCCTGATTTTCAAGTGTGTTGATATATTCAGGGCTTGCTGTGTTGGGAGAAGTGGATTCTGGTGATGCCCACATATAATGGCTTCTGTTGCTCATCATTTTGCACGTGCCTCTCACCATCTGGTTATCCCTGGTGATTGTTGGTCTGGGTGACTCTGTCTGTAATCTGGCTGTCTTGACCCTGAGTTGCTTCAGGTCCCCTAGTAGGCCTGTGGCCCTGGCTATAGCATACCACCTTTGGGGACTTCCAACTGGGGACACTTCAGAGAGGCAGAGAAGCTGTGGATCTGTTGCCCTGGCTGCAGCATATCTCCTGGGAGGCCCTCGGAATGTTGGGTCTTCAGTGGACAGTCAAGCTGTTGTCCTGTGTGGAGATGTTCTCTAGGGGCCTATAGACTGTGGTTTCTGTTTCCATATGTGCAGCAGGACTCGAGGGAGGCTTTGTGTCTGTAAGGTCTCTTGTCCTGCATGCCTTCAAGCTATGGTGTCAACTGCTCTCATTGCAGCAGATCCTCTAGGATAGGTCAAGATGTGATGTCTTTACGAGAGCAGACCAGCTAGCAGTCAAATGCTCAAAGTGCAGCAGCTTATCCTCACCTGCTCTGAGTACAGTGGTTCCTCTAAGATGGGTCAGGTTATGGTGTCTTTATGGGAGCAGACCAGCTAGGAATCCACTGCTTTGAGTGCAGTGGTCATTGTTATAGTTCATAGGACTCACAGATGAGTTTGGCTATTGGTTTCTTCCATTTGATACAAGGTTTCACTAGGAAGACCTGGTTCATCTAGAACTCATATAGAACAAGCTAACCTTGAGATCATAGATATCTTCATGTTTCCTTTCAACAATGCTGGTCTTAAAGTCATGTTCCACCCTATCTGGTAAGGTGACACTTAAAAAACATGTGTTCTAATTTTTATTCTTTCCTTTTTTATACTATGAGAATTTCCTGTAGTATATTATTATAACATGCTTTCTCTTCCCTGTAACTACTCCTAGATCAGATCAGCTCCTACGTCTGTACTCATGCATGAGTATTCTGTACTCATGTTTTCCTCTAACAACAACAACAACAACAACAACACACACACACACACACACACACACACACACACACACATGCTGTCCATGAGATTCTATTAATGAGAATCTGAACTGCTCTGGAATGTGATTGGTATACCCAGAGTCACTTTACTGAAGAAGACTGATTTTCCATCCCTCCAAAGCTATCAATTACGAATAGCTTTTTGAATAAGAGTAGAAATTTGCTCCCACTTCCGCTCCATTCTGGGGTTTTGTTTGACTTGCACTTGTGCAGATCTTCTGCTTACTATCATAGTGTCAATTCACATATACACCTGCCCACCCTGTGATATCTGAAAAGGGTTATTTCTTTGCAGTAGTCTACCATATCTTGCTATTACAATCTTTCTTCACCTATTTCCTGAGACTTGAATGGAGGAATGTGATGGAGACTTCCCATTTAGAGCAGAGTGCTTTGAAGTCTTTCATTATCTGCACTTTGTCAGTACCGTATCTCTGTTGTTAATTATCATCTCCTGAAAGAAGAAGCTTCTTTGATAAGGATTTAGTGATATACTAATCTATTAGTAGGGTAATAGGAGATTAGGCATTTTTTTGGTTGCTATGTTCATTAAGCAAAGTAATGGTAGTAAATTTTTCATTAAGATCCATGATCTAATGAGTCTTTGGTTGTTGACATTAACAACAGTATCAAGTATAGGTTTCATCTCATGAATTAGGTTGGATATACAATTAAAAATTTTTTGGCCACTCTCATATTATATTCATGCCACTATTACACCAATAATTATTCTCTGGAATGGGTTAACATTATTTACTCACAAAAAATGAAGGGAAGATGGGCAAATAAGTTCTAAGATAGTTTTCTCCAGATTCTTAATAAGACACTAATCTACTTATGAATTGGAAGTACTCTTAATCATTTACTCTTAAGACTTCACTTCAAATAACACAACACACATTAAGGTCTAAGAAGAATTTAAAAAGAACAGTCAAACAACAAGGCAAATATCTGAGACAGTGATATCCTTTTACATTCTGAAAATAACTATTTAAGGCAAATGAAAGACTGTCCTTGTCAATAATTCTTTAAAGTACTATTGTATTATTGAAGTACTGTTCTATCTATAAAAGAGGAGACTGTTAAAAATATATCATAATAAATGTTCATGTATCTTTAATACATAATTTTATTGATGTTTAACATTTATATATAAGGTATTTACATAAAACAGATGCCAATAAGAGATTCAAAAACATTATTTATATATTTTTATTATAAAATATGCTTCATTGAACATAGATAACTCTTTAAGAATATTTTAGTATTTTCTTAATTAAATTTCTAAGTTAATGGCAGGTATAAATAAAAATAATGCCAGAAAGACATTCAATAACATTAATGATACTTTTTGAAATTTCATGAATTTTTATTTTCATGTATTTGTTTTTGAGTTTATAAATATAATTTCCTCATTTTTCTCTTTTTCTTTTCCTTTTTCCAAAACTTCCTATAGTCCCCTCCTTAAACTCTTTTAAATTCAAGGACTCTATTTCATTAAAAAATAGTAAAATATTCACATTAAATAGAAGAAATGAAAAATGTCTATGATCATACTACTCAGTGGATGTGGTACTTTGAGTGAGAATACCATCCATAGGCTTATATGTTTATAGACTTATTCTTAAGTTAATGAATCTGTTTCATGGAGATTAGTTTATTTTTAGAGGAGATATATTATTGATGGTAATTGCATTCATGTTTTCTTTTTGCTTCCTACTTGTAGATCAAGATGTGAATTCTCAACTCTTCCTGCCACCATGCCTTTAGTTCACCATTAAACACAATAACCTTCTGAAAACATGGACTCAATTAAGTGATTAGCTTATAAGTCTCTGTTTTCTAGGTGTTTTTTTTTTTTAATCACAGCAATAGAAAAGAAACTCCTAATCTATCAGTACTGGAGCCTCACTACAACTCCTCTTGGATATTCTGTTGTCACCCAGTATCATGGAGATCCTGTACTTGTGGATCTGCAGGACTGGTCCCTTCATGCATTCCTGGAGTTTATCAATGGGGTAGATGTTGGGGAAGACCAATTTAAAGCCCTGGATCAGGGCATGAGAGGTATCTGATCTGGTCAGCCGGCTGCCTATCTCTCTCTCTCATGCCCTGGGGGGCTGGATCACCCATAACCTCTGCAACCAGGGTCTTGCTGTCCAGGCAAGGTGCAGGGTCAGCTCTCCCAAGTGTTGCAGCAGGTGAGGAACAGGGTCAGTTCTCCTGCACTTATGACCTTCCTGATGTACATGGCAAGGTGCAACATGGGAGATATCTTTCTCATGCCCAATGTACTGCACTGAAAAAAGTGGTGGTAACAGCTCTCCCATGATCAATTCCGTGGGTCAGCACCCCTACATCCTTGCCACCAGGGTCTATTTTCTGCCCAAGCAAGCTACAGGGACTACTCTTCCAAGTGCTGTAGCAGGTGAGGGGCAGGGACAGTTCTCCTGCTCTCATGACCCAAGGACCAGATTACTCACTTGCCACTGTTGGCAAGGGGCAAGGGATAAAGAGAATATGCTTTCTTCATTCATGTTATCTCATGGAAGAGGAATTGCAGCGTCAGCTCCCTCATGCTCATATCCTTTGGCCTGCTGAACAGCAACTCCTACAATGTGCACGACTGCTCACTTGTACACTGTAGTTGGCTAGGGGAAAGTTCAGCTCTTTACTCTCATATCACCAGCCCCATCGCTACCATGATGCCCAGACAAAGGGTGTGGCCAGTTGTGTATAGGCCTCAGACATCAGTATGTCAGCAGTACGCCAAACCAGAGCACAGAGGTCCACCTGGCCTTGAGTGGTAACAGACCCTTGCTACTACAGGGCCACAGGCCCAGATGAGCTCCCTGGTGGCAGCACAGGCCAGGACCCTACCATCATCTGAAATGGCATCATAAGCTATTCACACCAGACTCTTCCTCACTACACTAGAGTCTCCAGTTTTGCCTCTCTTTGTTATGCCCACATCCTTCTGTTTCTCTTTCTATTCCACTGACCCACCACTTATTTGATCCTTTTAGTGGAATTGGGGGTATCTGAGTGTCTGGAGTCATCTCAGAAGTGGTCTCAGTAGTGCAATGCCCTGCTTGGGCATTATGGCATTGGGTTGGGGTTATCTGCCACACCTCCAGACCTGTGTTGAACCTACTGTGAAATGCAGGGTTTTTCTAGCCTCTTTCTTGTTCCTTCCCTGGAAACCTGTAAAGGCCAGCATGATGAATGCCAGGTGATTATCTAAGGCTCTCTTTTTTTCAGGGAGTATTAAACTAATAATCATTCATATGTTCACCTAGAATAAACATAGCTTCTCTTCTCTCTGCCATCTACTGTTGTACATGTGGCACATCAGCCTTATCTACAATGAATGCCTCTATAAGGGCTATTTTCTTTTCTTTGTTTTTTTTTTGGTTGTTTGTTTATTTTTAATTTTTATTATTTTTAAGCTACCTTTATCTTTTTTATGTGTATGTGTTCCTGCATGACTGTTTATGTCATGCTTATTGACATAGACATAAAGTGCTTGCCTGATGTTAAATGCCCTGCAACTGATGTTAAGGTAGTTAAAAGCCTCTTGTTGTAGGTTCAAGGAAACAAAGTATATTCTCACTGAGACACCTCTCTAGACACCTGTATTTTTTTAACAAGTCTGTTCCCATTCTTCATCTATGGAGTGTTATTTGTATTTTTATGCTGATTTCCAAGACTTCTTTATAGACCGTATGTATCATATATATGATATATAAATTATATATATATATGTCACAATGCAATATATAGCACAGCATGAAAATTGACAGTATTTTCTTCAGAAATTGCTGTTTAATCAAATGCACCAGTCTTCTTATTTTTCTTTTATGTATAGTAAAAAATACATATAGGTATTTACTTTCCATGTTAAGGTTAAGTATATTAATTTTCTATTTCATGTACTAATGTTTCAATATTTATGATTAAGTCTTTTATCTCATTTTAAATTACTAGAATACAGTTCAAATCTCAAATGCACTCTCAGACTTACTAATTATATTCTGCTTTTATGATCATACTCTTATTTGAGTTCTGTTTACTTCCCTCATTGTGAAAATATCCTGTGAGCTGAAGAAAATAAGTTGTGGAATTTGCTTAGAAAGTAAATTACAGGCTTTAGAGATATAAACCAAATGAGAAAGATCAATGTCTTAGAATACTAATATAAAAATTCTACCAAAATAATGGAACAAATAATGGAGGAATATATCTCACAGCTGATATGAGATTTAATTTGCCAAATTTAATGTCTGCAGTATGCCATTCCCAATAGCTGAAAAAATTCTATATAGAAACTTCATTTTAAAATTTTATGACATTAAAATGAAAATAAGATGAAAAAGTTTCCACTATTAGAAACAAAAAAACTGAGTAAAACTAAGTATTGGAATGGATATAAAGCAGAGTAGTTTCCTCAATGCTCTAGAAGCCTATAAAGTACAGGGGGAAAGATAACTGGGGGCTCATTTAATTCCTTCGAAATTTCTAAGGAAAATTGCTTTCATTCCCTTATTGTGTAAATGGAAAGTCATGAATATACATTCATAATTTATTTAACAAGAAATAGAGCAGCAAGGAGATTGGAAAGGAAAGTCAGTATTTGAAAACTGGATGTTATAACTGATAATCAATGATGAATCTTTCACTCGGGTAGAGGAAATTCAAGGAGGTCACAACTGTTGCCCCAATACTAGAAAGACTTATATTTGTTGACATGATCTCTATTTGTCTTCTGTGGCCATTTATGTTCTATTCCTGAAGTTACTATTTTTCCCAAGCCCTAACTTTACCCCAATCTGGTGTGGTTGTTGACAAGTGAGTAAAATCAAAGTACTTTGAAAGTACTCCACATTTTAATACATAATATCAGAGAAACATTTTAGTGTTTTAGATTTGAAGACTAACTTGTCTGACAAAAGTTTTGTAACATTCCATGTTCGAGGTGAACTGCAAAAAATAAATATAATATGTATAAATAAAATATTACTGGTACATATTATAAATCTATAAAAAACTAAAAATGTTTTCAAATTAGTTAGCTGTCTTATGACAGAAATTATTCATATAATAGAAGGTTTTGAATAGACAATGCTGTCTATAGTCTTATTTAGTAGCTATAGAGACTCTCTAGACTTGTACCTTTTCTTGGATATCATTAATCTCAAAATGTAGTTCATAGTCATGAGTGAATTTCTTAATTTAATGATTGGTTCGAGGCCTACCCTAAATTAACTTCATAAATATCTCTTGAATATTCTCCCCATCTAATGTTCATTAAATTTTATTTTATACCAAAATAGTGAATAATTTATATGAGAGATATTACAAATAATAGGATAGATTGTTGCTTTTTCATAACTTCCCTAGACTGTTCTGATATACAATTTACTTTAGGGGATAAATTTGAAAATTACTTCACATTAAAATTATGCTGTGAGAAAATAACTATAAAAATAAAAAAATCACATAATTAGTAAATGTAGACTGGTTTTCTTTAGGACATAAGGAAAAAGAAGTTGTATGGCTATATTTTAGGTTATCCTGACATGAGCTAATGTCATTTGAGTAAAGGAAATATCAACTGAAAAATATACATCTTTAAAATATGTGTGTAGGCAGGACCATACTGTATTTTCTTGATTGATGATTGATGTGAGATGGTACAGTCTCACTGTGGGTAGTGTTACTTCTGGGTAGGTGGTCCTGCATGATATAAGACTAAAAATTTGAGCAACTCATGGGAATAAAGCCAGTAAATAACTCTCAAAAGGCTTCTGCCTCAGTTCCTGGTCCCAAATTCTCTCCCAGTTTGAATTCCTGCCCTGACTTCCTTTAGTGGTGGACTGATATCTGAAAGTTGAAGTTGAAATAAACTTTTTATTCCCCAAGTTGTTTGTGATAATGTTGTGCTATTTCAGTAATACAAATGCTAAGACAGTAAAAGGAAGGTAGCATTATTTAGTCTATTTGTAACATTTGAATCTTTATAGTGTAGTAAATGCAACATGCATAGTTATGTTATAATCTGAGATTGGTTTCAAAATAAATTGAATTATTTTATAAAATTCATGGGAATATATATATATATATATATATGTATATATGTAATGAGATTATTAAGGAAAATTATAACACATTCCAGACACTTACAATGGAAAATAAATTATTGAATGTTTTTGAAATATATTTTAAATCAAAATTCAAAAAGCATTTTAAGGAAAGTAAATAAAACAGAGGAAGTTATAAATAATAAAACAGAATTCAAATAATCTCCATTAAAGTTTTCATGTATTTATAATTTGAATTACCATAAATAAATTAGGGAGAGACAATTAAAAGACATACATCACTCAGAATGGAAGGTGTTGTATAACAACAACAAGATATGTATACCAAAATAAAACATTTTCTCCAAAATAGTTTATAAATAAAGACAAAGTAAACAAAATAAAACAAAAAATGTGTTTAAAAAACACACCTATTTGTAGCATTTGACATCTGTCGACCATCAGTCTAGTTATGTGTTTAATTAATGAGTACTTACAAATGAGCAAAACAGAATCTCTTTGTTTTTTCACCTGTTAGCAAAATATCTTACCAGAAGCATTAGCCAAAAATAGAAAGGAGATATAGAAAATATTATCTGCATCATTAACATATGCAGGGTAATTAAGACAAGAATATGGTACAATTTTGTTACAACTTATATTTCATGTTGTTTCTTATACAGAAAATATTTCCCTCCCATTTTAGCATTAGTAATTATATATTAAAGTCCATTCCATTTTACAGCATAATTTATTAATTTTAATGAGAGGTATAACAATGTATAGACAGACCACACAGAATTCCTAGTTTTTCTTCATTTAGTTTCTGATGTATTTTAAATGAAAAAGTGGAAAAGGGACACTAAATTTTATGTGATGTTAAACAGTGGTACTAGTTACTATGTAACCATATATGATAGGTTGTCAAACTAGCAGCTTATAAACATGGTAACATCTGGCCTAGTTCCAACTCCATTTCAGAAATAATAGATTTTTTTAATATTTCAAGATTGTCTTTGAGGTCTTTAAGCTATGATTTAATGTTTGAGTGAGGGTATTTACTTTTACTTCTTTTAGACAAGAAATGCAAACTTGGGTCTGAAAAAAAATAAGAAATCGATATTGGTTAAGAACTTAGGTGCTTCATCATGAAGAAGGAATAATTCTACCCCTCCAAAAAGTCTTTAATTGTGTGTAGCTTTTCATGTAGGGATGAGGTCTTGTGAGATTTCCTTAATCCATTTTGACATATCAATCATTTTTCACTCCTTCTCCTGTGGTGTCCAGGCTCTGGTTATATTTACATTGCAATTGTGTTCTAAAAGAGTAAAAGTGAGAGTCAAAATTTTAAATATGTTCTATAATTTCATTTCTGTTTCATTCAATTGGTGAAAACATACCATAAAGGAAGCACAGATTCAAAAGAATGAAAATAGAGCCACACATACTTTGAAGGCCTCCTCTGCTGATGCTCAGAACACTGGGATAATAGGAATACTGTGAGTTTGAAACAAGTATGAGCTGTATGCCAAGGCCATGATTCAAAACGAAAGATAAATGAAAGACAGCCATTTGTGCAAAGAGCTGAACAGAATGGCTAGTCATAAACTATTTCATTGAGAAAGGGAAATTAATTCATCTTCAGTTATATTTGAATTTGTCAGTGTTATGGTCTAAATATGCATAAGGTATCTCCAAAGTCCAATTATAAAAAGTATAATCTCCAGGGTGATGTTACTGGAAAGTATATGTATATGTGTATGTGTATGTGTGTGTGTATATATATATATATATATATATATATATATATATATATACAGGCCTAGATCAATGAGACTGAACTGAATGATCTTGGATGTGGAATGACATAGATTGCACATTTTCCATAAGCAGATTGAATCGGGAACTTTATAGAAAGAAGCTGGATAACATTGTGAGTTTTTCCACTAACATTTATCTAACACAAAATCCTTATGAAAACCTTTGGTATTGCTGGCTAATATGGAAAGTTTATTTATTTATCTTCTATTCATATATATATATGTTCATGCCTTCTTCTACTTAAAATTTCATGCTATGTTGATCCTACTTTTATATTTTCTTAATTTACATAGCATAAAAAACTCCCAAATGGTTTTCTTGCTATTATTTGTCTGCTTTCAACTCCTATGCTACCATCTCTCTTCCTTTCAGTATGTATAATATATCTCTACTCAGAAAAGAATAATATATATAATTTGCCCGTATTATCCAATCCACATCTCTTTAATCAGGGGCACTGTTCAATCCTCAGTCATCATCTTAAAGTT